CCACAGCTAGCCACAGCTAGCCACAGATAGCTGAGAGTCTTGAAACCAGAAGCCAAATAAACTCACAAAGAAAGCGAAAAAAGGAGACAGCTGCTAATGGAAATCTTACTATAGGTCTTCTGTCCAACGAGGCTGCTGCACTGTTGCTGCTGCTGCTTCTGCTGCTGCTGCTGCTGTTGCTGCTGCTGCACACAGTTGCTGGCCGCACTTGCGGACGCACTGGACTCTCCTGCTGCTGCTGCTGCTTGTCGGTCTTGGGGAGGCTGGCTCAGCTGCGGGCCGCAGAAACAGCAGCAGCAGCAGCAGCAGCAGACGCTGCAGCAGCTGCTGCTGCAGCTGTGGCTAGCCGAGCAGCAGCGCTTCGGGTGTATATCCACCTCAGGAGAAATCAAAGACCTTAACCGCCCGCTGCTGCTGCAATGTCTCTCCACTTTGGGCCCTCAGCAGCAAACCCTAGACATTCGCAGAGTCTGCAGGCCTCCAGGTGAGCTGCTGCTGCTGCACTTGCTGCTGCTGCTGCTGCTGCTGCTGCTGCTGCTGCTGCTGCACTTGCTGCTGCTGCTGCTGCTGCTGCTGCTGTGGCTCTTTCTGGAGCAGATTTGCAGCTAGCTGCAGCCCGAAAGAGCAGCAACTGCTGCCCTCAGTATGAACACGGACAGCAGTGATCCGCTGGCAAGCTGCTGCTGCTGTTGCTGCTGTTGTTGTTGCTGCTGCTGTTGCTGCTCCTGCTTCTGCAGCGGAAGATAGCGAAGACTACAGCGAAGGAGCAGCAAAGCCCTGGGAGGTGCAGCTCCCCGAAGGGCTGATGGCTATGAGGGCTGCTGCTCGCAGGCAGTCAGACGTAAGGCTAATGTGCTGCTGCTGCTGCCGGTGCTGCTGCTGTTGCTGCTGCTGCTGCTGCTACTGCTGCTACTGTCGCTGCTGCTGCAGGCAGCTGTGCCTCTCTCTGGCTTGTGCTGTTCAGGACCTTCGCTTTGAATTATTTGTTTGCCTTCGCAAGTTGGACGCAGCAGCAGCAACAGCAAATGAAGGGACAGGTGCAGCAGCAGCAGCAGCAGCAGCAGACGACAGCGAAGAGCTGACAGCAGCAGCAGCGCAACAGCAAATATTCATTAGAGCAGGAGAGATACTCTGGCGCCTCGACGCCCTCACCGAGACCAAAGACGCCCTGGCAGGTACGCAGCTGGCTAGCTAGCTAGCTAGCCAGCTAGCCAGCCAGCTAGCTAGCTAGCTAGCTAGCTAGCTAGCTGTTTGGGTAGCTTGCCAGTTACTTGGCTAGCTGGCTAGCTCTCAAGCTAGCTAGCTCACTAGCTGAGGGGCGAGGTTAGATAGCACGTGGCTAGCTAGCTGGCTAGGTAGATGATAAGCTAGCTAGCTAGCTAGCTGGCTAGCTAGCTAATATACTAGCTAGCTAGCTGGCTAGCTAGGTAATATACTAGCTAGCTAGGCAGGCAAATGAATAAGGGATTACCCTTTCGCCCAGCTAGCTATGCGCCTTCGCAGCTAGCTAGTTAGCTGGCTAGCTAGCTAGCTAGCTAGCGTGAGCCCTGACTGTTCAGTTTGGCCAGCTGGCCATTGAAACAGCTAGCTAGCTGGTGGCTAGCTGCTTAGCTAGCTGGAAAGGTGAAGGGCCACAGAGCTGCCCCATTACCTAATGGCTAGCTAGCTAGCTAGCTAGCTAGCCAGCTAGCCAGCTAGCTAGCCAGCTAGTCAGCTGCGCAGCTAGCTAGCTAGCTAGCTAGCTACTGCGGTGGGTAGCCAAGTAAAGCTGAAACGTCGCTGTGGAAATGTTGAACCGGCACCGAGCTTCTTTGCTGCTGCTGCTGCTGCTGCTGCTACTGCTGCTGCTGCTGCTGCAGCAGCAGGCCTGGAGCCTCTGCCTGCTGATGCTGCCTGGCTAGAAGAAGAACGCAGCAAAGCTTTGCAAGTCTGCGCTGAAGTGCAGCAGCAGCAGAAGCTGCTGCTGCAGCGGCGGCAGCAGAAAGCCGCAGAGCAGCTGCAGCAGCAGCTGCAGCAAATTGCTTTCGAGAGGCAGCAGCAAATCGCAAGGAGAAAAAAAGCACTGGGCAATGAATCGCCTAAGGTAAGTGACTGTATGGGCTGCAGCAGCAGCAGCAGCTGCTGCTGCTGCTCCTGCTGGTGCAGCTGCTGCAGTTGCTGCTGCTGTCGCTGCCCAGTGGTCTCTTAGCTGCTGCAGTGTCCCTGTGCTGCTGCTTCTCTTTATATGGAGGGATAGGCAGTACCTGTATTCCCCACACTACTTGCTGCTGCTTTTGCTGCTGCTGCTGCTGCGGTTGCTGCTGCTGCTGCTGCTGCTGCAGCGTCAATTGTCTGGCGGTCGCCTTCCTTCTGTGGAACTTTCAAAAAGGGAAATAAAAAATGTTTCTTTAAACTATTAAGAAGATCAAAGGCAGAGTTTTTCTGCTGCTGCTGCTGCGGCTGCTGCTGCTGCTGCTGCTGTGGCTCCTGCTGCAACAGCAGCTGTTGCTGCTGCAGCTGGTCTTCCTGGTGCAGCTGCTGTTGGCTGGACTGTTGCTGCTGTAGCTGATCTTCCTGCTGCAGCTGCTGCTGGCTGTACTGCTGCTGCTGCAGCTGGTCTTCCTGCTGCAGCTGCTGCAGTGTCTGCTGCTGCTGCTGCTGCTTTTGCCCCTGCTGCTGCTTCTGGTAGTCAGAGCGGCGCTTTACATGCTTCTGCGGCTGCTCCGGCAGCAGATGCTGCTGCTGCTGCTGCTGTTGCTGCTGCTGCTGCTGGAAGCGGCGGAACTGCTGCTGCAGCGTCTCGGGAAAGAGCATCAGCAGATTTGCAGAATCTGCGAAGCCATTTTGAGAGTTAAAAGGCACTGCAGCAACAGCAGCGGCAGCAGCAGCAGCAAAAACGAAAGCAGCAGCAGCCACAAGCAAAAGGCTGAAGAGCGACAGGCAATCCTCCTCTCTCCGGGCGAGGCGAGGGAAGAGCTTGCTGCTGCTGCTGCTGCTGCTGCTGTCCTGCTGCTGCTGCAGCTTCTCAGCAGCAGCAAACTCTAGCTGCTGTATATCTATCAAATCTATGCTGCCTGTCTCTTCAGACAAGGGACGGAAGAAATCCCTTGGAGACACCTGGCGGTCCTCCGGCATCCTGCTGCTGCTGCTGCTGTTGCTGCTGCTGCTGCTGCTGATGAGGGGCTGCTGCTGCTGACGCTGGCTGCAGATTGGTGCGGTACGCGCTGCAGCAGCTGCCGCTGCTGCTATCGCAGCAGGCTGCAGCAGCTGCTGCAGCCTGCTGCTGTAGTAGCCACCCTCGCAAGAAGGCGGGCCCGCCACTGGAGGCCTAGGGTTTAGCGTTTAGGGTTTAGGGTTTAGGGTTCAGGGCTGCCGTTGGTCGACTGCGCGCCCGCCGTTCTCTCGAGCAGAAACTCCTCAAAGTCTTTTGCCTTTAAGTTGATTTATTTTGGAGTCAACAAAAGGGTAAAACCAGAAAAAGATGGGGAGCAGCAGCAGCGTGTCTTGCTGCTGCTGCTGCTGCATGCGTGCAGCAGCTCGACGCAGCAGATCCAGCCTCGGAGTGCAAGTTCAAATAAACTAAACTTTGAAATTCGACTAAAATTACAATTTAAATTTCAAATTCATGTTCAAAATTAAACTTTAAATGAAAGTCTAGCACCTAATTAGGAGGTCCGCGCTGCTGACCAGCAGCAGCAGCAGCAAGAGCTTCGGCGCTGCTGCTGTGCTGCTGCTGCTGCGGTGTTTTCGTGGTTTGTTTGTGTCCATAAACCTGAAATAAAGTACCTTTTGATTAAAACTTTCTACAGTTTCACTTTTAAAGATCTTTTTGTCTTTTAAAAGCAGCAGCAAACACATACCTCTCTCAGTCTCAGCAGCTGCAATCGATTCTGTGCAAGAAATGCCTTAAAGTATCTGCATGCATGCAAAGATATGCTGCTATAAACATTAGAATTAATTAATATAACATTAGACTTTGTTTTTGCAATTATTCAAAATATATATTTGCGTATTTATTCGTAAATTTGCAACTTCAACTGTATCTGCTGCAGCGCTGAACTTTCATTGAAATGAACTTTCTTTTAAATGGACGAATTAAATAATTACAATTTCATCCTTTTGCTGCTGCAATTATAATTATCTAATTAGTATATTTAAATTCAAAATTTGTTGCTGCAGTTCCCTCATAGGGACGCCTCAGTGCTGCTGTTGCTGCTGCTGTTGCTGCTGCTGTTTCCGCCCCTGCTGCCGCTGTTGCTGCAGTGTGGGGCCCCACAGCTTGCCAGTCATAAAACACAAGGAAAACTAAGAAGGCTGGTTGCGTCTGCAAAATAAAACAAAGAGAAATGTGCAGCTAGCTCCAGCTAGCCACAGCTAGCTGGAGCTAGCTGGAGCTAGCTACACGTGGCTACACGGCTGCTGCAGCTAGCTACAGCTAGCTACAGCTAGCCGCAGCTAGCTACAGCTAGCCGCAGCTAGCTAGGCCTGGCTAGCTGGGGCTAGGGACTACAGCCAATCGCAGCTAGCTGCAGCTAACTGCTGTTTGAAACAGCTAGACGCAAGCAGTTGTAGCTAGCTGCTGCTGCAGCTAGCTGCGGCAGCAGCTAGCAGCAGCACCAGCTGCTCCCACGGGGGCAGCACTGACAATAAAAGGGCCCCCAACAGGGGCCCCCAATTCGTGTAAGGCCCCTTTATCTGCATGGGGGGCCCCCCTCCCTCTGAACTTTTCTGCTGCTGGGGCCCCCTTAGTGTGGGGCCCCACACTAGGGGGCCCCCTTAGTGTGGGGCCCCACGCTAGGGCCCCCCCCTTAGTGTGGGGCCCCGCACTAGGGGGGGCCCCCTTAGTGTGGGGCCCCACACTAAGGGGGGGGCCCCTTAGTGGGGGCCCCTGCATTTGGGGGCCCCCCTGCTGACAAGGGGGCCCCCCATTATGACCAAACGACACCTTTCTTGAAAAACGAGAACTGACAAAAGAAGAAGCGGCATAGACAGCAGTAGCAGCAGCAGCAGCTGTTGCTGCTGCTGTTGCTGCTGCAGCAGCAGCTGCTGCTGCAGCAGAGAATGACCGACAGATGGGGCCCACCAGAAGCTCCCGAGCCTCCTAGTAGCGCCATCTGGCAAGAAGGACCCCTCGGGGGACCCCCGGGGGGCCCCTGAGGGGCCCCTAGGGGGCCCCCAGGGGGCCCCTTTTAAGCTAATTAGAGGTACCCTTTGGGCCCCTTTGAAGGGAACCAAAGGCCTCTAATTAGACCTCTGGGGGCCCCCGGGGGGCCCCCAGGGGGCGCTTGTGGGGCCCCCTGGAAGAGACGCGGGCTTGCAGCAGCGGAGATGATTTGCTGCTGCATCTCCTGTTCCTTTTGCTGCTGAAAGGAGACAGCTGCAGTGACAATCAAGCCAGCTGTTGTTGACAGAAGCGGCAGCAGCAGCAGCAGCGGCAGCTGCTGCGGCCTTGCTGCTGTCGCTGCTTCTGCAGCAGGCGAGACTTCCCCGCTGCAGCAGCAGCAGCAGGGGGGCCCCCGCAGCTTCACAGGGGCCCCCGCCAAGATGGGGGGCCCCCCAAGTTTGCCTCCAGCTGCAGCTGTTCTCTGAAGGCCCTGACGTCGCTTTCAGTAATGGTGCAGGAGGGGCCCCGCTCCCGCACTCGTTCCTGAAGAAATTGCTGCAGCAGCAGCAGCAGCAGCAACAGCAGCAGCAGCAACAGCAGCAGCAGCAACAGCAGCAGCAGCAGCAGAAGCAGCAGCATAGCAGGCAGCGATGAGACACAAGACGGACGCAGCCGCGCCTAGGGGACTCGCTAATCTGGGATATGGCTGGAGAAGTAGCTTGCTTCGCTCCTGCTGCTGCTGCTGCTGCTGCTGTTGAAGCAGAGCTGCATGAACCTGCAGCAGCAACTTAAAAAAAGCAAAGTGGGGGCTCACCACGAACTTGTCCGCAAATGACCTGTAGTTACTCGCCATTACCATTTGCTGCAGCACAGCAGCAGCAGCAGTAGGAAGCAATCACCAACAGCAGCAGCAAGCATACAGCAGCAGCAGCAAGCACACAGCAGCAAATATCGCTCTGACGAAAGACTGGTGACAACTCCAGCAGCAGCCACAGCAGCAGCAGCAAGTGCATCTGAGAAGGCAAGGAAGCAGCAGCAGGACACAAGTCGGGAGAAGCAGCAACAAGAGGAGCAGCAGCAGATGCGCAGGCAGCAG